TTTAGCGCTGTAGATAAATCAAGGGAAATAAAAACTTTGCATAAAAATTAATTCCGTCGTCCCGCTCCTGGTCAAGGATAGGCTATTTTTAAGATCCCTCATAGTCTTTCTCAAGATGGATATAAATTGGCAGTTGGTATGGTGAGATGATACCTCCTGGCTGAGTTATGGTTGTTAGTTATTAGTTACCTGGTTTGCTCTTATAGGGAAATTCAGCAGGTTAAATTAGACATAAAACATCTGAAGAAGAAAGGTCAGTATTGTAGCCCAGCCCTCAACCGGATTTGATTATTTCCTCACTAAAACCATTAGCTCCTGTCCAGTGGAAGCAAGTTGAGTCTTGGTTGATCCACCTCCTGTGAGACTGATAATGGAGTGAGAGGGAAGCATGTCTTACATTTTTATTGGTTTATTCTTCTCAAATCCAAGTTAGAAGAGAGAGGGTTCAATTACTATTGGCTTACCTGTTTATCAGACTTAGGTGAGAATTAATCCAACGGAAGAAAGAAAATCCTCTAGCCAGAGTGCACAGAGTCAGTACATAGTTAGCTCAGATCCAGACACGTTCACGCTTTCAAAACTCACCACAATTTGTGTATTTGTTTCCTATGCCTCTGGACAATTTACCACAAGCTTGGTGGCTTAAAACTACAGAATTTTTTTCTCTTATGGCTCTGGAGGCCAGAAGTTGAAATTATTTTCACTGGGCTGAGATCCAGGTGTCAGCAGGGCTGCACCCACTCCAGAGGCTCTAGGGGAGAATCTGTTCCTTGACTCTTCCAGCTCCAGCATTTCTTGGCATATCTTAAAATTATACATGTGATTGCTTTAAGGTCCATATAATCCAGGATTACAGCCTCATCTCAAGATCCCTACATTAACCGTATCTTCAACGTTTGTTTGTTTGTTTGTTTGTTTCCATGTAAGGTAACATTCACAGATTCCGGGGATTAGGATCTGATTTTTTTGTTTTTTGAGCCATTATTCTGCCTATCACAGTTGGCTTGGGTGGTGCTTTTCTTTTCTGAGTTGAGAAAATAATATACATACTGGGCAGAATCCAGTCATGAAAATAGAAACCACATCAATTACTTTATTTTATTTTCTCAGTGTTTTAAATTTTTATTTTAAAAAGGTCATATAGGCAAATTGATTCTATTTGTGTACAGTTCTATATGTGAATTTTGTATTTCAATACATGGTATAAATTCGTGTAACCATCACAGAATCATGATACAAAAAGAGTTTCGTTGCTGCTCACAACTCCCTTGTGCTATCATTTTGTAATTACAAACACTCCCATCCTTAAGTCCTTGAAAGCTTGATTTGTTCTGTTATTTTTTTACATTTTGAAGAATGTGAAATGAATGGAACCATACAATAAAAAATCTTTTCATAACCCTGCATCTTGGTGAGAAGAAACACATGCCACTGAGCACATGCATGGCCCCCAATTCTGGCACGGTTCTCAGTTTTCTCTAATCCTGATGTTTTGAACTTTTAAGTTATTTTATAGGAATAACTTATCATTTCAAGTGTTTGAATTACTTTGGATATTTGATTTATAGCTCTACAAAAGAAACACTATGGTAATCGATAATGGAGAAGTTCAGGGGAGTGTTCTATCAATTCATGTAATCAGGTTGAAACGTGTTCTTTACATAAATCTATTTACACCAACACTATTCTAAATTTTTCTAACATTTTAAGACAATTTTTGTTGATCAAAAGTCACTTAAGTATATTAATTGGGGTATAGTTATTATTTGGCATTTCTAGGAGTTGACATTAAACAACATATCCAACAATTCTTTACTATTTTTCACTAGCAATGGGTTTGTAGAGCTGAATTATAGCATTAGGGTGGTTATTGCTTCAAGTAAAGCCAATATCTTAGAAATATATTTTATTAGTAAGAGAACAGAGTAAATCAGAAATATGTAACATTCTAGCATTAGTGGGAAAATACCACTGAAAGGATGAAAAACAAAGAATGCTTGGAGAGTATGATAATCAGTGGTTCCTAACATCTAGGAGAATTCTCTTCTAATGGTCTTGGATGGAGCTATCTATGTTATGCCATTATATGGTTGTTTCAAGGATCTTGGGTCAGCACTCACGTTCTGTGGACTGTCTGCTTCTGACCATTCTCTGCAGAACCTCAGTTTAAGATCTCTAATGTAAGCAACTATTCAATTCTTGTCCAGTACGGATGCACAATGAACTTTATCTGCTGAACTGGTAATAAGTACTACCTAATCAGTTCATTTCTAAAAATTCAACAGCAGTCTTTCTCTGGGATTTTTTCCGAGCACCAGATCACCCAAATAAAGTCATGTAAAGGCTGAATAAATGGAAAGCAAGGAAGTCAGCCTGTGGTTGTTGATGAAAAGACTGAGTATCATGGGTTTATTTATCTAGTTCAGTTTATGAAAGATTGGAACATGTATGGTTTGGGACATTCTGAGTTACATGGGCCTATCAGTGACCAGTTCATAGTGAGACAACATATGATTTTGTGAGGGGAAGAATGCAGGGCCATCAGAACTAAGGCTAATAGTGCATTAGGCTGTAGGAGGTCCAGGGTGTCTGCTACAGTAAGTAACTTCAGTTTTAATATTCCACTTGTTCTTTCCACTTTTTCAGAGGATAGTGGCCTGATAAGAAAAGTGAAGTTTCGGAGTGAGGGCAGTGCTTTACATAACTTTCCCAGAGAACTTTGCTCCCCTATATAGAGATAAATAGAAATGGCACAGTAGTAAACACAAAATCAAGTTGATTTTGAACTCTTGTGAGTGCTGTGGTTTTCTGACAGGAGAGTGCTTCAACCCATGTAGAAAATGAAATACTATTATCGGTACATACTCACGACCCACGGAGGAAATGTAATCATGTAAGATCCTTTTGAAGATACTCAAATGTTTCCTTGGACAGTATTCCAGTACATACCCCTCTTTTACAGTTTTTATGAGATTTTGTTGGTTCCAAAAGAGGCATGAACTGGCCCCATTCTCTGCTCTACTAGAAAAGTTTCCCCACCAGTGTTTGTTTATATTGCAGCCAGTATGTCCCTACTGTGATGTGTTGTCTCTGGAGGATTTTAGCAAACTTTCGTTGGAAAACATTTGCCTCCACCAGGTAGCTGTCCTTACTTTGACATATCTTGTCCTTGTGAATGTAACAAATCAATCATTTCTAATGATTCTTTACAAAATTGAAGCCTAAATTTTGTGCATCTAAAATGGAATTATTGAATTTTTCCATGGATTTGTCTTTACGTTCACAAAGAGGAGCTTGCATAAGGACTTTATTCAGAAAGGCATGTTTAGCATGATGATCTGCTCAAGCATTATTTTTCCAGCTTTTACACTGTATTTTATACTGTTACATTTTGTCTTTATGACAAAAATTTTTTTCAGTTGTATGAAGACATCAAATAATTCATGTATTTTGTGTTCATTTTTAATAGGGGATCATGAGATACTTGAGAGAATTAAGAAAAGATTAGACGGCTAAGAAACATTATTGTCTCCATAGTATTTGGAAACAGTGAATTATGTTAAAAATATATTTACTAACAGTGAATTTAATTTTTTGTAAATTGACGTGCTAAAGAGAGATTCAGAAGTTTAGTTGCTTGAAATAATTTTACTTCTGCTAAGGGATTGGATATTATAAAGGAGACTGGAGTAGTTATTGCAAACCAGTCTGGTATTGATATTTTCAAATTTTAAGATAAGGTCATTAAAAAACTTATTAATGCAGAATTTGGTATGAGAGTGTCCAAAAGATCTATTCTAGACATGGACACTTCTTGAAATACAGAAGTACAATCATGAAATTCCTTTGATTGAGAAATGTATTAGAGTTGAATTGTATGAGAAGAAATGAATAATATTTCATATTTACTCAACCAACTGGTGGAAAAATGTTACATGTTTTTAGAGAGTTATAATCTACAAATTAGAGAGCAGAACTGTTTGTACGGGTTTGTGGTACTATCAAATTTAATGGAGATTTCCATTAAATGTAAGTAAGATCTGAAGATACATCAACCAGTTTGGCCGAAGCTGCCATTACTTTGAGACAAGGATGATAAACTCTGGAAACTGTATCAAAAGATAGGCAATGGATCTTTGTTGTTTGCCATGTTGTTGAGTAATTTCCCTAGACATGGCCTTATTTTTAATATACATACAAAGAAAAAATTTTATTATAATCAGTGATCCTGTGATCAGCTGTCTTATGGAGGTGTATGGGGTCACCTATGGCATATCCTTTTCAGACATGGGCATCTAAAATATAGATGCCTACTGTGGTTCAATTAGGGTGCCAATTGACATAAAGGCAAAAATATAAATCACAAGTTGGATAACTCAATGACAAAACTCTTGTGTCTATTCTGGCCTTTATGAATAGAGCTAGGCTGGAAAAACTAAATAGAAAAGAGAAAGGGACCTTTGTGACAGGATTCACTGTCTGAGAGGTCTCACTGTAAACTCTTCAGCACAGAGTGATTAGATTTTTTTCTACTTTTGGCCCAAGAGGGGCAACTGAGCAGATATTGATAGTGAGGAGGACTATTGCTATAACAATAAGTAGATCAAAAGAGCAACAGTGATTAGTCCAAACAACTTTGCCTTCTTATCGTGAAGTGATTTATGTCTGCCTTAGGTGAAACAACAGCATAGATAGGTGTGAGGATATATGGTTATTACATCTGATGTTGTTTCCATTATCCATTATACATAGTATTTTTAAATGAGTGCCACCCACCCAGTTCCATCACAAATATAATGACTGAACGTAGCAGTTGATAGAATCATCAATCTTCCTTTCAATATAAAATTTTACTCTTGTTTATTTTCAGATGTAATTGTTTTCAAAATAAGAGTTGGTTAATTCAAAAGGTAGTGTGGATTGGCTGAGACTCTCAGCCAGTGCACAGAGAAGTTTCATGTGACCCACATCAGCTTGCTATATCAGGAAACCTCCCTGTTTCCTGCACTGGGACAGCAGCAGCACATACCCAGTAATTCTTCCCTCACCCTGTCAGGATCACCTCACAGTGTAGAGCTCTGAAGTTTAAGAAGGTATTTTCTGTCAAGTGAAAGAACTCAAACATGGTGTTCTCCAGACTTCTGAAGGTGGTCATGGCTTCAATGTGGCTAGGTAGGGATGGCCCCAGTGGGAATGTGCCTCCTCTATGACCTAAGGACCAGGGGTACAGACAGTGTCTTAGGGGTACCCTGGGAAGGAGAGGTAGCATGGTGTAAAAGAGAATTTCTGTGTCCCACACCCTTTATCCCACAACCGTCTGATTCTATCTTTTTTCCCTTAGGATCCAGTATTGCCCAGAAGGTAACTCAAGCCCAACCAGCAATGTTAGTGCAGGAGAAGGAGGCTGTGACCCTGAACTGCAGATATGATGCCAGTGATGGAAGTTATAGTCTATTCTGGTACAAGCAGCCCAGTAGTGGAGTGATGATGTTTCTTATTCGCCAGGATTCTTATAACCAGCAAAGTGCCACAGAAGGTCACTACTCATTGAATTTCCAGAAGGCAAACAAGTCCATCAAGCTAGTCATCTCAGCTTCACAGACAGAAGACTCTGCAGTGTATTTCTGTTCACTGAGGGAGACCACAGTGAGAGGTGTGCTGGAGGGAGGTGTACCAAAACCCCAGGGCTCTGCTTGATACAGGCACCTGCTGTGGGGACCAAGGCAGGGAATTGTCATCACAGACAGGAAGTGTCTAGGGCTGTGGCAGCACAAGTGTAGGGTTAGAGAGAAAACACTCACTCTAAGAAAATGTCCTTCTAGGTTCATGGAACCTGTCCAGAATTATCCCTCATCAAAGTCATCCTTATCCCTGAATCATTGGCGTGAAGGTAGACACACAGAATTTGACCAAAGATTGAAGAGAAAGAACAGCCGCATAAAATCTTTGCCATTTGGTGATTAGATTGTGCTAGAAGAATTGGCTAAAGAAGTTCAGAAACATATAACTGAAGAATCAGTAAAAATATGTGAGAATTGTTGGATTTTCAGATCAATTTGTTCAAGAAATATTTATTGAATATGTATTATGTAGGGGAGGAGAAATTCTCTTCTACTCTCTTTGGGTCCCTGGCTGGGCCTAAGAATCAGACTAACAAAGAAACAATAAATCTGCAAATTGCTGGCAACGTGAACAGGAGGCCCTCTCGAATTTGTGATTATTTTGGAAGCACTTTGGACTATGGCAAAGGGCATGAGATTTAGAATGGGAAACTGAAATGCCAGGTTCAGTTCTGGCAATCCTGGCTACGTGGACTTAGGCATGTCACCAATGTAGCAGCCTTTGATCTCCTCACTTGAAATGAAAGATTTGGACTGATGACCCCAAAAGACTTTTCATACTCTAATTTTATCAGGAAAACAGTAAGCTCTGGACACCTGTGGAGGATGAGGAAGGACTTCTCAGTATCAGAGGCCTCATCTGTTGTACGCGCGGCCCTCTCAAGACGTCGGTGGGTCTTTGAGACCCATGAGATGACTTTTACATTCCTTTAACTCCTGTATAGGAAACAGTATATTGATCAGGCATTAGAATTAGAAAGGATCTTAGGACTCTTTCAACCAAACTTTTCATTTTAAACCTGCGGTGTGGAAACATTCTGTAATGATAGAGACAAGGATCTGAATCTTTGGAGTGATAAGAGACAAATTTGGTCTGCCGTTGACTAGTTGTGCTATTTCCAAAGCTCAATTTCTCCATTAGTAAAATGGGAACTTATAAGAAAGTCATAAGTTTTCCCCATCCCAGTGAGAAATGTATGTTCTTCACTACCAGGTCCTGAAAAGTTGTTTTGCGAAAGTGGGAACTTCTATTATGAAACACATAACTATTTTACATCTATATATTCTTGCTCCTGGTAAGATAAATAAATGCTGAATATAATTTTCTTAATATAGTTTTGATACTACTGGAAATGTGTTTATGGAGAAAATGAGGGCATTTGTATTTACGTGCATGTTTGGTGAAAAAGATGGGGAAGACAGGGGAAAGGTTGTACAGGGCAGTGGTTCCCAAATGCCAGACCTTCAACCACCAACATGACCTGTAGCAGAATCACCTAGAGCACATTTGAAGATCTGATTATTAGGCTCTATCCCAGCTTATTCAATCAGTTTCTGATGAAATGATGAATTTGTGTTTTTAATGAACATCATCTGTATTAGTTGGACATTGGCTCAGCTTCACGTTACAGAAAACTCAAATAATAATGTTTTTAACAAGCTGGAGTTTATTTTTCTCTGACATAAAGAAACTCTATCATATGCAGGACTGGTATGCTAGCTTCATAACGTTGTGAGGGATTGAGGGTCTTTCTAGTTCACTGTTTCTCATTTGTAAGGTGTCGCTCTTGTTTTTATACTTTCAAGAAGGTGTTAGGGATCCATCCACTTTATACAACTTCCAGACAGAAAGAAAGAGAAAGTCAAAGGGCAGGTGGGTCCATGCTGGCTGAGTCAATCATTTCCAGAAGCTCCACCCAACGACTTCTACTTACATTTCATTTACCAGAGTGATATTCGATGTCCCCACCCCTCTCCCATCTGTAAGGGAGTCTAGGATATCAGATTATTACTTTTTTACTTAATATGCTGCCACTCACATCAAAATTGGGGTTCTCTTAGTAAGAAGTAGGAGAGAGTGGACATTGCATAGGCAGCTTGCAGCTTCTGCCATGCCCTCAGTTTAGGGTATGTTAGGACTCATACAGATTTTTTTTTTTTTTGACTCATAATTATTCATTTTTGAAATGCCATATCCAATCTATCTCCCAGGCCTGTTGAATTGCCTTCTAAAAGTCTTCCAGACAACATTACAATCCTCACAATGCAATTCACCTCCACAATCCTGATTAAACATCCACCTAAAACCATTGCTCCCCTGCCCCCGGCCCATTTGACACCCCCATCACTCCTCAACGTAGTGAGGGTGATCTTTTCAGAATGCAAATTTAATCAAGTCCATCACCTGGATCCCCATTTGCTCTTAGAATAAATAAAGACTTCTTAATATGACCTACAAAACCTTGCATAATTTAGGATCTTGCTAACTCTCCAGGGTCATTCCACAATATGCTCCTAATCTCTTTCTCTCTCACTCTCTGTCTCTCTGTCTTCAATAATACTGGTATTATTTAAGTTTCTTAAAAGCACCTCATTCCTCCTATATGATCCCATCATAGTGATTTTAGGTGATTTTCTTATTCTTTTTCCTTTTCCCAGAATTATTTTCCCTACTATCAAAATAGTAGAAACTAGTAACTGCCTGCGCATTCTTGTACACCTGTCCAAGAGTCAGTAAGTGAAGGAAGCTCAAGGTGCACTCAGAATCATAGACCTCTGCCTTTTCAAACTTGTATTTTTTCCTTTATTTATTTGATTATTTCATTAAACGCTATTTCCACTACTGCTCTGTGAGCTTCTTAATGACAAAGACCACTTTTGAATCTTTAGCACCAAAGTATATTAGGCATTAAGATCATCAAATCTCCCTCTTCTTCCTTTCTATCCATTAACTTATTTAATATACTTCCTTTATTTTAAGCCCCCTCAAAGAGCTATGATTACACTGTGGTGACAGAACGAACAAGAAAATATGGCTGAGTTTCTAAGATTGCAGTACACGGATCTTTGGAGGTTTATTGATAAATTCTTGGGGTAGAGTAGGGGTCAGCAAACTACAGTCCACAGGTCAAAGCTACATACCACCTGTTTTTATAAATAAAGCTTTATTAGAAAACAGCCATGTCCATTTATTTATGCATTGGCTATGGCTGCTTTGTGCTATAACACCAGATTTGAGTAGCCATTTGGTTAGTTGCAACAGAGACCAAACGACTTCAAAGCCTAAAGTATTTGCTATTTGGCCCTTTACAGGAGAAAGTTTGCCAACCTCAGGGGTATAGGAATTGCAAGAGAATTTTTAGGTTTGAAGTTTTCTGTTTGATGACAATAAAATAAAATAATAAAGGCATGCTTCTAACAGGTCTGTATGACGAACAGAATATTCCCCTTGGTTTTGATAATTTTGTATTCTTTATGTCATTTGTACCAAAGTAAAGACAATGGAATAATAGTACTATACAAATTAAGGTATCACAGTTGTTTAAAAGGAGAAAAGTGTTCAGAAAATTTTGGTTATGACATGACACATGGTACTACAGACAGGCCAGACCCTGAAGAACCTAAGTTACCACAGTTACTGCTGTGTTTCCACTGAAAGAAGATGCGTTGCTCACATTCATTGTTTGAATGTATCAACATGCACTTCAGCAGATGTAAGAGGAGCAGTAGATGAACAATACATATTTTTTCAGCAGTGATTTTTTTGGGTACTGTATTAAATAACACATTTGTATAATGGTGACTTAAATGGGTATTTTTGAAAAGGGAAAGTAAAACTACTAGAAATCACTAGTCACAATAATTCTGACAACAGTACATTAAGCTCCAAATCATTTTAAAGAAGGGAGTTGTTGAACTACACACATCTATAGCTTTCTTCTAATAAGCCTATACCAACTCTTTAGTTTCAGCTAAAGATCATCCCTCACATTAATATTTGAATTTGAATTTTATATTTTGTTTGAATTTTTGTTTGGTTTGGTAATTATGTAAGAACTGTGAGCCTAAGAAGTTTATACTTAACTTCATTTTTGTGTATATTAAGGCACCATAATATCTTTTAAGTAGTCAATATGAGAGTAGTCTCTTATATGAAGATCTAAAACTTACTTAATTTTGAGAAACGTTGAATGCACCTGTTATCTAGGTTCTAGATCTGACTCTAGAAGAAGCTGGTCAAATCGGGGTCTAAGAAACATGCTCTCACAGAGACTATACTTCATAAAAGATAATTGTACCCACCAGACATGTCTACTCATTCATTTGTTCACTCATTCTTTAGGTATTTTTTGAGCACCTACTATAAAATAACGGCCTGTATATTTTGAGAAGTTGGTTACTGAGACTAACAAGATTAAGTTCCCGATCTCAGGAGCACCAAGTCCAGTTGAGAAAACAGGACACAGATGCTTCCAATACGATTCAGTAATGACAGTAATAGATGTGTGTACAAGGTACAGTGGAAAAGAGATGGGCACAACAGCGTGCAGAGCTGGGTGAGTCCTTTCACAAGGAGGTGACATTCAGATTTGTTCTTAAAGAATGAAAAGAAGTTACCTGGGCAAATGTAGGGGTGAGAAGGGAGAACATTCTAAGCAGAGGGACTCATCCCCTGGTTCTAGAGGACCAGTGGGGGAATATGTCAAGAAGAGAACTCGGATCATGCTTTTTTTACACTGTCAGTCTACCCTAAGATGCTTAAAACTAGCATAATACTCAGTGTGAACAGACATTAGATGCTGGGACTAGGGAGACTTAAGGGGGCCACATTGCCCTGCATCTTAAAGAGGGTAACAGAGGAATTACCCATTGTCTCAGCCTCAGGCACCACTGTGAAGTTTGCAGAAAGTGTTTGGTGCTCCCTTCCTGGAGCCTTACCCCTCACCCCAGACACCTATTTCCCTTCTATTTCTACAACTTGAGGTCCATTCAGGGTAATATTAAATTCAAAGATGTAAAGCAGGCTGTAGGACAGAGCGGGAACCACAAGAGGGCGCTGCTCCCTTAGGGTGGTGG